ATGGAAATGCAGACGGGAAGGGACCCTTCCAACACTGTGACCTTCCAACACTACAAGTTTGGAAGAAGAGGAGTCAATAAAGGACATTGGAGAGAAGTAGATTGTGGAGAAAAAGAAGGATATCATGTACCGAAAACCAAGGGAGGGAAGTATAACAAGGGATGTTCAGCACTCAGTACGCTAGGCTGAATCTGCTGAGATGGTCAGTGATCACTGGCAATACTGCAATGGGGGAGACCATGACAATAGCCATTTTTTTTCAAATGGTGAGATCAAAAGTTAGATAAAACTGGGCCAGCAGGCCGCATGATAGGTAAGGCGCTGAATCCCATACGGTAGACTCTCAGGTTGAGTCTCAGACCTGCCAGGTGTGTGTGTCTGCATGCATGCCCCAAGTTTTGAAAGGAGAATAGAGGAGAAGGGATTGCAGCATGCTCATTCCTGTGGGGGATGATTTTCTACTTTCTCCCTCTTGCTGTCTCTCTCTGTTGCATGTCAATGCCTTGTGATTTAAAAAAAAAAAAATCGAAAAACAAAATGAAACAAAAATGTAGTGGAAGAAATAAAATCTTTTCAGTAAACTGTGCTGGAAGAACTAGATATCTACTCACAGAAAAATGTATATGGACCCCCATCTGTCACCATTAACAAAAATCAATTTATGGGACCAGTAGTTGGCGTAATGGCTATGTCGTTGGACTCTCATGTAGTCAACCGTGGTTTGAGTCCCAGACCTGGTGGCTTAAAATTCATGCAGGGCACGTGGGTGTGTGCATGCTCAAGATCCAGAGAGGAGAATGGAGAAGGGACTGTGGTGTTGCCATTGCCCTTAGGAGGTGATTTCTTGCTTTCTGTCTGTGTCTTTCTGGCAAGTGCACACACCCGTTTCTTTCGCGAAAAGCCACACCCCCTTTAAAAAAAAAAAAAAAAAAAAAAAAAAAAACAACTCTCAAAAAAACAAAATCAATTTACAATGGAGTGATGAAAAGATTTAGACGTAAAATCTCAAACAGTACACATAAAGCCTCAAACTATAAAACTACTGGTAAAAAGAAAAGAAAGAGAAAGAAAAAAAAAGAAAACACAGAGGAAACCATTGAAGACACTGGAGTGGGCAAAGATGTCTTAAATAAGACCCCTACAGCACAAGGAATTATTTCAAAAACAGACAAATGTGATTTAATCAAGCTAAAAAAAGTTTACACAGCAAAGGAAACAATAATTAGAGTGAAGTGACAACCTTTGGAATGAGAGAAAACATTTGCAAACTGCTTCAGATAATGATATGATAACCAAAATATATAGGGAACTCAAGTAGTTCACTCCCTCCCACACACAAATGAATAATCCAATTCAAAATGGGAGAATGTGCTGAACAGACAACTTTCCAAGGATGATATAGGAAAGGCCAAAATGTGTATGAAAAAATGTTCCAACATTTTCATCATAATGCAAACTGAAACCACACTGAGATATCACTTAACCCCAGTCAAAATAGGTATGAGTAAAAGGAAATGAGTATAAGAAACAACAGTGCTAGCAAAGCTGTAATGAAAAGAGAATCCTCCTACCCTTTTGGTGGAAGTGTTAGTACAAGCCACTGTGGAAAGTAACACGGAGGTCACTCAAAAACCTACAAGTAAAACTATCGAATGACCCAATAATCCCACTCCTTGATATTTACCCAAATGATAGGAAAACACTCAGACACTGGCACATGGATATTTATTGCAACATTACTCACAATTGCTAAGACATATATAATCAACCTAAATGTTCCATAACAGATGAATGGATTGAAAAACTATGGTATATTATTCAGCCATAAGGAACAATGAGGCACTGTCATTTGCTTCAAAGTGGATGAATACACAAGATTTAACGCTAAGCAAAGTAGAAAGACTATGAGAGACAAGCACTGTATATCCCAGCTCAATATACAGCGAATGCCTGCACTCTATGGCAGAAACCCAAAATCTGAAGATATAATAATACTAGGGAGGACAAATGTAGATACCAGAAACTCTATAGGAGGAAAGTAGATAGTATACAGTGGGTGGAGAAGCTCAAGGGAGAAACACTTAACAGAAGTAAGAATATATGTTGAAAATGATGTATATGGTAATTTCCTTGATTTGCGTGCCACATACAAGCATGCCTTGTAAAACATACTGTCTGCTACAGAAATGTAAAATGATCGCGTGTAAATAAATCATTAAAAAAAAGAGGACTGAACAAAATCATTTTGACGCCTTTACAAACTACACAAACTTACTCAGACCTATACCTGACCTAACTGATGAGGCTCTCAGATTTGACCTCCAGAGATTTTTAAAGCACTTTTACCTATCTAAAACCCTTCCCCACTGTCTCACAAGATTGTTCTATGGATATGAAAGTGCATTTAGACAAAGATGCCCAACAAAAAGAGCGGGGCAAAGACGCCACCATTCATTTCTATTACTCTAGTCTGCATTCATTTTGTAGCCTCTAAGCTTCTTCATGCTCCCTCAATACCTAAGTCTTCCTAAATTTGTTCCACCCGTGAACTTCTTTATCAATGCGGATTTCAAGTCGTTCACCCACCTTGTCCCCTCCCAACTCTTGATCCCTCCGCTCCAAATCTTTAACCTAGGCGGCTTCAGAATTCCAACCCGGAAACAAAGAGGGCGTGGCTGGGCGGGCGTAAGGGAAGACTGGAAAACGCGCGTCCACGTTCGAGGTTCTGGGCGCATGCGCTAGTTCTCTACGGATCTTTTGTGCTGCCCTCCTGGGTAGGGTCGGGGGTATTGTTTCGGTGACGGACTGAGTACGGGTGCCGGGTAGGCTCTTGCGGAAGTTCATTCGCCATTGGAAGGGCCTCCGCGGCTGTTCTGTGCCCTTGTTGCTGAGGGCCTCTTCCTGGGTCATACCTGGATCAAGAGCCGGACTGGGGCTAACACGGGGACTCCCGTGTGGCCGTCTTGGCGCCTGCGTGACCTCCCCATTGGCGGGATGTGGCGACTACATCGGGCCACCTTGGGCTGGTAAGTGCGGGCTCTGACCTGGCCCCGTTATTTCTGGGGCCTTTCACTACCTCTGGAATGTGTAGGTAATTCTCAGGCCAGGCCGAGGGTGGTTGGAGAATTCCCGGAGATTTTTGAAGACTTAGAATGACAGGAACCTCTCACTGGGTTCATCTGACCGGTGCCGGTTTCGATTCTGGCCTCTGTTCCTGTCCCCATCCAACCCGAAGATTCTGGACGCCTCTCAGTCTTGGGTCATATGGATTGACCTTTGCCCCTGCCCTTTACAACCCCTACTGCGTCTCGTTCTTTATTTCTGTCCTGTGCGTTGCTGGTCTGGCCCTGTCCATATATCATCCTTTCTGTGTCTCTCTTAACTCTCATTGCCTTAATTTCCTTCCACCTGCACCCATGTGTACGCTGCACCTGCAGGTACTTAAGCTCTCGCTCTCGCTCTCGCTCTCGCTCTCTCTCTCTCTCGGGTGAAGGGGAGATCAGGTCTAAAGCAGTGACGCACATGGTGTCCGAGATGGTGATTAGAGATGCCCTCTTAATAGCTTTTTCAGTGTTTGGGAAGGAGACTTGCATTTTTTATGCAAAGTGTGCCCTTCCAGAAGTTCTGGACACATGTGACACCATCTTTTAAACTGTCATTGTTGTCCTGGCCGGTTTAATCATAAGTAGGAAATTATGGAAATATTATCATTTATGTGAGTTGCTATATATTTTTTGATGAGATTAAGTTTGACTTTATCTTTGTAGGTAATTTTGTTCTAATGGCCTTCCTTTCCTTCAAGCTTAACTCATTGTTTTTGTATTTCGTATGAATATCTATCAAGCTAGGTTAGAGAAACTTAGTTTTCTAAATTAACTCAGCCTTTCTATACCTTTCTATACATTTAAAATAGTATAGATAATTTATAGTGCTTATAAGGAATAAAATCTACTTTTAGAGGTTAACTGTAGTTCAGATACAGAACTGGGTGGCATACAGTAGTTACAGTATTAGTCAGAATTATTGCATAGTTCTTTTTAATCCTCTGAAATTTTAATTTTTGAGTAAACTTACAGCCCTTGATATTGAAAGTAGTTACTTAAATCTTTGTCATTTCTGTTCAATATTTAACGAGGAAACATACATACATACTTTTCTTTGAAAAGAGAGAAGACTGGAAAAAAAAAAGCTCTGTTAGGGCAATCAAGATGTGTAGGAAAAACTTTTAAAATTTAGTTTAAAAACAGATTGATTTATAACTGTCATAATTTGTTTATTCACTTCAATAGTGGGCTAAATTGTTTATAAAATTACTAGGGACTCCTTAGAGTTACAGATTATAAATGCCTCATGCCAATAGCAGAGTAGCTATGTGAGGAAGTAGAGATATGAAATGTCAGAAGGCCTGAGCTCTGACATTTGTCTTTTGTTGTAGTTCCTTTGCATATTATCAAAGAGCACAGTTAAATTCTTACTCTTTAATAGGTGGAAACATAAACATTTTTTGACATGCATGTATAAACACATGCTCATGTACAGGTGAGAAGAGTAATGACCACCATGTATTTGGGTGCAATTGATGTTTGTGTAAGATAACTCAAAAAAAAGAATTTACTTAGTACATATTAGGGAATGGTATGTAAAGAGATGCTAGATGAATGAGACAGTAGATGACTTCTGGAGGGGAAAACCTATTTTGCATCATATTTGATTATTCATTTTAACTGAATTTAGAAGTCCTTATACAGAATCCTTTTCCATCAAACCTGTGAAGGCATTGCTACATTTTCTTCTAGCATCCTTTGTTGTTGATGAGACCTCTAATGATAATATGATTTTTTTCCCCATGTTTCTGGGTGTCCTGAGTTTCTCCTTTATTGCAGCTTTTAGAACTTGGCTTTAGGGGACCTGCAGGTGGCGTGGTGGTTAAGATGCTGGACACTCCTACATGGCTGACCAGGGTTCGAGTCCTGAATCCGGTGGCTTAAAAGCACTTCCTCTCTCTCACTCTCACCCTCTGTCTCTCTCTGGTCAAATTAAAAAAAAAAAAAATGAATGAATGAATAAATAAATAAATTAAATAATTATTAAAGAATAAAAAAAGAACTTGGCTTCAGCCGGGACCAGCAGTTGGCGGAATGGCTATGTCGCTGGACTCCCATGTAGATAACCGCAGTTTAAGTCCCAGACGCGGTGGCTTAAACTCACGCCAGGTGCATGTGCGTGCATGCCCAAGGTCCTTAGAGGAGAATGGAGGAGAAGGGATTGTGGTGTGGCCATCCCCCCTGGGGGGTGATTTCTCGCTTTCTTTCTCTCTGTCTCTGTCTCCCTCTCTCTTTCTGGTGAATGCACGCACCCTATAGCAAAAATCTCTCAAAAAAGAAGTTGGCTTTAGCCTTCATCTTAAGTTTCTCAAAGCTTTGTTCAAGTGTAGGCCTGTCTTTTTTTCACCACTCACCTTGTTGGCACTGATCGGTCTACTTTATTAAAAAGATTCCTATTTTTTCTTCAGTTCTGGGAATTTTTTCTTCTCTTATTTCTTTCTCTATTTTTTTTTTCCTCATCTTTTTCTTTCTAGATATCTGTTAGATGAATATTGTTCCTCTTAGATTGGTCTTTTAAATTGTCCGTGATCTCCAAACTATGACCTGTAGCCTATCTGTTTCAAAAAAAAAAAAAAAGTATTCATATACACCAATATATTCATATGCATTTATTTTTAGGTTTTATATATAATATACATGCCTCTTTGCTAATTAATTGTTTACATTATAAGTTTACCTTAATATCATTTTAAAGACCAAGATACTGAAAATACTCTATCTGGATGCTTCCTGAATCCCATGGATCTTTTTGTGCACATGGAATGCATTCCACCTTCAAGTTCCCAAATCTATTGGATACCTCTTCTTTGGATTGCTTAACTGTTGTGTGTTTCCACCTTTTTTTCCTTGTGTTCTATGGTCTGGAGATTTCCTTTATTTATTTTCTGACATGGCTATTCCCATAGGGGATTGCCCTGTTGAGCTTTGGCTTTTACCACTGTGCTACCATCTTGCCCCGTCTATTAAACTCTTAAAGGCATGGGACCATTAGATGACATGGCGGTCACATTGCTGGACTCCTCTGGTCAACCATGCATGGTTCGAGTCCTGGAGCCAGTGGCTTAAAACTCATGCTGGGCGCGTGTGCTTGCATGCCCAAGTTCCTGAGAGGAGAATGGTGTGGCATGGCCATCTCCCAGTGAAGGGGGAGTGATTTCGCACTTTCTGCCTCTCCGTCTCTCCAGCAAGTGCATGCACCCTATAGCAAAAATTTCTCAAAATCAAAACTCTTAAAAGCATGTTCAATTCTACAAACTTTGCATTGTACTTTGCTATTTTTGAATAACAACAGCTTTACTATTATTATTATTATTATTACTGATATGTAATAATTGTGTGGACTTGTGGGATACAGGCTTTTTTTTAATCTGTGAACATGGTGTGTAATGATTAAATCATAGTTAGCATATCTGTCACCTCAAACATTTATGTTGCTTTGTGGTGGTAACCTTCAAAATCTTCTCTGATAGCTATTTAAAATATACAATAGGGACCAGCAGATGGCGTGATGGTTATGTCGCTGGACTCCCACATAGTCAACCATGATTGAGTCCCGGACCCAGCAACTTAAACCTCATGCCAGGCATGAGTGCATGCATGCCCAAGATTGTGAAAGGAGAATGGAGGAGAAGGAACTGTGGTGTGTCTATCACCCTGGGGGGGGGGTGATTTCTCACTTTCACACTCTCTGTCTGTCTCTGTCTCTCTGGTGAGCACATGTGCCCTATAGCAAAAATCTCTCTCAAAAAACAAAATGAAAAACTATGAAATATACAATAAAATATTGTTAAATATAGACATCTACTGTACTATAGAACTGGTTCCTCCTATCTAACTGTAATTTTATATCCAATAGCCAACATTTCCTTATCCCCTCACCCCTACCTCTAGTAACTACTATTAGACCGTCTACTTTATGAGGTTTTAAAATTTTTTTTAATTAATTGATTTTTTAAAATGTATGATAAAATGTGTACATGAGTAAGAGAGCTTTCTGGAGCATAACATTACTGATCTTGCCAGGGAGCCAACCCAAGGTCAACTTCATCTTCTGCATATGAATGCACATGCAATATTTTTCTTTCTGTGCCTGAGTGATTTCACTTAACTTAATGTACTCCAGGCTTATTTGCATTGCCTAAAAGAACAGGATTTCATTCTTTCTACTGGCTTGATAGTATTCCATTATATGTGTAGGTCACATTTTCTTTATTCATCCATCTGTTGACAGACAGTTTGATTCTGTATCTTGGCTGTTGTGAATAATGCTGCAGTATATTATGTCTGCATAGTTTTCTGGAGGATTCCTGAGAATGCTTATTGTGATTGTGTATCTCGGCATTTTCCAGAACTAACAGTGTTGCAGTTTATCTTGGACCTCATCTTAAGAGATGCTGGTTTCTGTGAGAGTCTGATTTCCTAATCAGATTTAAACACGAATGACCAGTGACTGACTTCCATATTCTGTGTGTGTTATCCCTGAATGAGAGGTATGCTTTTGTGTTAGGTGTGTGATGTATCAACTAGCAAGCTTCATTTTAGGACTTTCAGGCGGCGGGCAGGTGATCTGAGTGAGCTTGGTACAGATACCGGTAGTGAGGGGGCTTACTCTGGGAAGTCGTTTCCCACTCTCCCTAAGGCCCACTCCCCAACAAACACAGGCATCTTAGCTCTTCCCTGGCAGATTGCTCAGCCTGGGGACAATTCCTGCTGTTAACGTTCACCTGGATGGGAGTGGGATGGAGGGTGACCAAGCAGTCTTTCCTCAGATGGTGCTTCAGGAAATCTCAATTCCTTCTCCTCTTTTTACTTTCTTACCTGTATCTCAAGAGGACCTGGTTATGAAGAATAGTCCTTTGCTGTCTGAGCATTGATCTTGTTTATAGCATCTTCATGAATCAGAAACCCTAGAAGTAATTCTT